ATGCACTAAGCTAAATGTTCTCACAACGCATAAGCGGACACTATACAAAACTGGTTTAGGAATATTCTGACACAACCCAAAACTGACACAACACAAAACTGACACAACTCAAAAGTCAGATGGCCTCCTGGGTCCTGCAGTCCACATACCCTGTACAAACCTACAGCCCTGCCTCACCGCCCCCTGACTTTTGCTCCTCACTTTCTCGTGCTCATCTCAAAAGAGATGCTGTCTTCGTTTGTTGCCACACCACTAGACTCACTGTCCAGACTGAACCATCATGGGATTTGCTGGGAGTGACACAGCCGTACAATTTTAACAGAGCAATTCAATGCCCTTCTCCCAAACGTTTCTTTTGTCTTTAGGTATCATCCAGGCCTCTAAAATTTTCATTCGTGCCATGTTATAACGTAAACAATGCTCTAAGTACAGGTTACCACTCATGTATTAATAGATAACTTTGCTTTAAGTTCAAGGTGGGGACAGTACAATTAATGCTCTCAATCTTTCGTTAGTTTTTACTATTAAACCATAGAGTTTTACAGTAATACAATCTGATTAAACCATACGTATTTTTCCTCTCAGGGCGACCAAGAGCTACGAATAGACTTTCCATTCAAAGGCAAAAACTATACTTTCACTTACTTCCCTTTCCGCGTGGCGCCCCTTCAAAACAACTTCCGGTTAGGCCTGGGATCACACAGAGTCGATGACTTCTACCGGGTTCACAACGGCGCAGTATTTTCCACGTGGGACAATGACAATTCCGGAGGGTGCTCCAAGAACGACTATAAGACAGGATGGTGGTTTGTACGTTGTCATCAAGTCTGCCTCAACGGCGTCTGGCGCTCGACCGAGTGGGCTAAAATGATTGTCTGGGAAAGTATCACGGGGAATTATGAGGGTCCCGATTTTGTCAGCATGAAAATCCGACACCACGCTAACAAGTGAGATTCTTAGTCTGCGAGCACGGGTGAAGGCTAACTTGTTTGTAGAGGCATTCAACAAAAATTCTTACTCGAGGCGGCACCACTGAAATGTGAATAAAAACAAATCCTGAGTTCATATTGTATGTTCTTTGGCCAAAATAATCTGGAAAATGTCTCATTAAATATGTATTCAGGCTTTGGGCAAAAACTTAATTTAACACTAGACAATTTAACTAAAGATGTGAATCAAGTTGTTCCCGAATCCGATCCAGACATTCGGGATTGTTTTGTTAGTGACACAACTTTCTGGGCCTTCGACATATTGTGGTATGGTGGCCAGTTCCTTTCCGCACCGCCTTTACTTCCCCAACTCGAAGTCAGGTACCCATAACTTCTGGGTGGGCAGGAGGGGGCGAAAAAAAAATCCGTGCCCGAACCGAGGCTCGAACCCGGACTTTCCGCTTCGGAGACGAGCTCCGACACCGCGCCCTCTCAAAGATAATACACAAACAAAAAGCAAAGAAGCAGAGATGACAATACTACATTAATGTATTCTCATACGTTTCAAGTTTGGCTGTTTTTGTCTAACCTTTTCTGGCCAGGAGCAGATGTCATAATCATGTCATGATCTGATAATAGGAAGGTAAAGAGTCGAGGAAAAAAACAAGCTCTCACAGCAGTCATGAGATTATTAGGAGTTAGTTCCCCTCACCTTTTTGAGGTAGACTATACCAATTCACTTATTAGCTTACATAAGCAGTACTTGTGACTGCTTATGAGAGTGGCCCGAAAGGGGTTAACAGGGTATTTACGTTGCAATGAAGCAGTTTTTGCTGTTGTTCACGCGGCTCAAATTAAAAAGGGGGGGGGGTACACCCCCAAAGTCCCTATTGGGCTCAAAATTATGGAATCTGTGTTGTAGGCATTTTTAGCTTCCTCAGCCTCTCCTACAATTATTCCATCACATGAGAAACCCCAAAAGCCTTATTTCTTCCCATTTCCTCATAAAGTCAATGTTTTAATTTTCTTTATCGGCCGTTTTCTCAAAACGCGATTTTTCTCTATACTTTTTTGAATAACTCCACTATTTTTATTCCAATCTTCATGACATTTTCACAGAATTAAAAGAAGGGGTAATACTAACAATTTCTTTGTTCAATTTTTGATATATGAAATAGATTTTTGATGGTGGTGTCTGGAGTGTGAATTTTCACGATTTTTGGCAAATTTGAATACTATCCGAGGAAAAAAAATTCATTAAAAATGTTCTAATTCATTTAGGAAAAAAATCAACAAAGAGATTTTTAGATCTAATGTTTGCTGACATGCTTGCGAAAACACAATCAATTTCCATGACCGATAAGTGGGATATTCACTACGTAAAACATGTCAACAAAATCCAATATGGCCGCCGTAGCCATGGAAACGAAACTTTTTCTCAAAATTTGATTGCGGATATTGAAACACCTTACTATGCTTGTTATATATGTATTTATGAAATATGGTCCACTAATAAGCGAGATAGCCTTCAGGTGTAACCCCCCCCCCTCCCCTTAAATTATTTAAATCGTAAGGCCTACGTTTATGGGTGTATATACGAGTACGAGTATTCATGGCGCCGATGTTCCCTAGTTATGGAATGGAAACGGTGATTTTTTTATTATGTGGACGCTTCTGTTGAAACATTTTGAGACCATCGTTCCCACCGTGCGTTTAAAAGTTGTAATTACATTTTGCCCAAAGTGGGAATAAGATTATTTTCTGAGACATTTTTCTCGATTATTTTGGCGGGTGAACATGCTATATGAGCTCAGGGTGTGTTTTCTTTCCAACTCAGTGATACCGCCTTTAATAAGAAGTTTTGGTATTTATGTTCCTATTGTGGGAAAGTTTGTCGTGTGTGGTCTCATTTCTTCCTGATTCTTTTTGTCTCTTTGCTTACCTTTTCAAACAAGTCAGCCTTTCCCTTGTCAGCTACTTTGCCACACGAAAATCGAGAAAAGTGTTTGTACTGCAATGGTTAAAATTTCAACCATTCTTTTATTTGAACAATATCTACTTGTTAGTTATTGTATACATTTTGGTGAAAACACCTATAGTTCTAATTGAATTTCTCTGTGTAAATAAATTTGGTTAGAACAACAGTTACTCGGGTTTATTTCATTTTAATTTCGTGTTTATTCTTTACATAATATTATAACACTGGAAGAATTGTCTCCGTTCAGTATTTGCTAATTAAAAGTTTCCTATTTATATATTAGAGTTTAGGTTACTAGTCTGTGGTGTATGCAATAGAGGGGTTGAATAAGGGGCTCCCTTCCAAGTGGGCTCCAGACCTTTCACGGCCTTAACCTTGTCCTGATGTTTCCCTTCTCTTATCCGGCACGTTCACCCAGACCTACAATTTTAAATAATAAACAAATAATAGTACGCATTTATCTCGCGCAAATTTTCGCTCAACACCAAGCTCTATGCTCTTTACATTATATGTCATTATCCAGCAGACAAAATAAAAAATAAATTCATAAGGGACACCGTAGGTACAACACCAGTCCTACCACACATTGAAAAACAAAAAGTCAAGTGGTTGGACACCTCACACGGATGCCCTCAAACCATCCAGCTCTGAGAGCATACAACACTAAATATTCTGGATGGAGAGCCAGAAGAAGACCAAGGCGACGATGGAGTGAATCTGTGGCAGACACGCTCAGAGCTCACGGGATGTCCCTCCTACAGGCCACTCGCTTTGCTGCAGACAGACGCCTGTGTCTCCCCGCGACATCAACAGGTACAAGCGGAAGAAAAAAGTAAAAAGTACAGCGTAATCCAGCAGAACTGATAACATTCTAATACAGTAACAATCTCAATTTCTTGGGAAGCATTCAGTACAAGCTGACATTTTTCTATAGGCTCTAAAATACTAACATGCCGACAAACTCTCTCACTGTCTATGGCCAAATACGCTTTCTCAATTAAGTGAAGCAAGTACGTGTAAAGTGCCTTTTCCATGGATACGAAATAGGACCTGGTGTTCGAACCCCCAGACCCTCAAACTCACGTTTACAAGTCCGGTAGACTATCGGTAGACTATTGACGCCACCTTCCAACACATCAGGTCCTATGGCACATTCCACGTTCAGATAGTGGAAGAAACTGGTGCAAGTAGTTAATGAAGGTAAAGGTGAATATTATACAACAGTTCTTCAAACAATGAGCACAGATAGATATTATGTATTTTTCATTCTGGCTGCTATTACTTTGAGCTCCCCCCCCCTTTCCCAACACACAAACACACACACACACATACACACACACACACACACACACACACACACACATACACACACACACACACACACACACACATACACACATACACACGTACACACGTACACACGTACACACGTACACACGTACACACGTACACACGTACACACGTACATACGTACATACGTACATACGTACATACATACGTACATACATACGTACATACATACGTACATACGTACATACATACATACATACGTACGTACGTACATACATACATACACACTTCTGAAACACAGATCAGTCAAACAAATTAAATACTTTTGGTGTTAAATTGTAATATAAGAAAAAAAGCACCTTTTTCCAAAGAATTGGTACAAAGTAGGCCTACGGTACTTTGTAATGGTCAGGGTTTTTTGTTGTGTTGTTTTGTTTTGTTTGTTTGTTTGTTTTTATTACTTTTCCCCTTTGCTTTGGCCCATTCAAGCATAAAGAAAACCCTTGGATCAGGAGATAAAATTGCAATGGAAAAAAGCCACCGCGCCGTTAACAGCACACATGCTACACTCGCAGAAACTCGAGCTGCTCATCATTCTTTCCAACACAAATTCTCTTTCTCAACACACAACACCTCGAGAATAGCAATCAAATTTTCTCCTGGAATCGTTCGCCAAGATTTTTTGACAAACAAATTTCTATGTGGATTTACAGAAGAAGAAAAAAAAACGTTGATGAAGGGCACAAAAGATGTAAATTTGCAGCTTACAAGAATTCTCAAGCTTTGGACGTCACCAAACTTTGGAGGCAATTTTCTCGTTAATTTTGTCTCTGAAACCAGGCAGCCCCTACCACCTTTATTTGCAAAATCTCTACTTCAGTGCGAGATGGGTATTTTTTCATCAAAAGCAAGACAAATGATAGTAATTCCAAATGTCCCTAAATTGACGAGAGTCAGATTCTACCTCGAGGTGCCACAAATATATAATCGCAATGTTTTGATTGTACTGCTATTATATATATAATATATAAAATAATATATATATAATGTTTATATATATAATATATACTATATATATGGCGCTCATATGATTTTATGCCGTTGCGAGTATATATATATATATATATATATATATATATATATATATATATATATATATATATATATATATATATATATATATATATATATATATATATATATATATATATGTGTGTGTGTGTGTGTGTGTGTGTGTGTGTGTGTGTGTGTGTGTGTGTGTGTGTGTTATATATATATATATATATATATATATATATGTTACAGTTACAGAGACACAATAAGAGATATATATATATATATATATATATATATATATATATATATATATATATATATATATATATATATATATATATATATATATATGGGGGCTATCCCGAAAATGCCCATTGTTCAGCTTCTTTATTAGACAAGAAGTATTTTCTCTATAACCGAACAAACATACACACCTCTGAAGCCAAACGTCTCGTAAAGGTAGGGCAATGCCTACTTTTGGTGTCGGTCAGGATTTCTGGAAACCCCCGAAATCTAGGTTAGCCCACTTGTCCTTAAAAGCGACCATATTATGATTCAGAGATATGGAAAATAAACAAGGAAGTAAGAAGCTTCCAAACAAAAAGTTTACAAAGAATTGTATTTATAAAATTGAATGAATTTCTTACAAATTATGAAGTACTGGAAAGAACTGGAATTGAAGATATTAACAGGACCGTAAAAAGAAAATAGTAATCTTTAGGACATGCTTTAAGAATGCTGAAAACAAGATCGAACTATCACACATGGTATTGGAGACCAACTGGGAAAAAGGGGTAGACCAACTGGAAGTTACAGAGGCACAATAAGAGATGAGGCAATCACCGAGGGCCTAGATGTGCCTGGATTGAAGAAGTTGACCAGGGACACACGAGCATGGCGACGACTGCTCTCTATCTTATGTACCTAACAGTAAAGGGAGAGAGAAAGTAAGTAAGTTAAGAGCCCTGTAGAAAGACAAAAGCAGGGCGGGGGGGGGGGGGGAGGGGTGGACCAACTTTCTCTAGTAGATCTACCTTTAAAGTACAAAGGATGACGATATAATACATGCACTAGTCACACTGCAAGTCGTCACGTTATTTTTTATTCAACTGGGTTGGGGTTTTTTTACCAAAGACAAAGAGAAAAACATCAGGCCAGAACGAGAGGAGCTTATCTTAAAGCTGGCCTCGGGCCAGAACCATACGTACTGGTATGTATAATTAAGACAAATGGATACATGACCACTCGTAAAAATTTGATGAAAATGAGTGCAGGTAGTCAAAAGTGATCTGTTTAAGAACAAAAAATGATGTTGCTCAGATGGACGAGGTATTCCAGACGCCAGTGGAATGAGATGAACACATTAATGACATTATTTTATTGAAAGAGAAAAGACTGATTATTCGTCTGCGCCGAAAGACTGGAACTCAGTTCCCTTGGCGTCCTACGTCACACCCTTGTTGTTAAATCTGACTCTGACACATCGGTGAACGGACACCTGTTGAGATGGGATGAGCAATGGGAAAACTGGTGAAACTAAGCCACAGAATTTCGAATGTGTTTATAATTACCATTCTACCAGGGGGTATATATAAGTAGGCCTACTATACTACCAGTGTATACATATATTACATAAGTACTATACTACCAGTGTGTATATAAGTACAATACTAGTCTACCAGTGTGTTTATAAGTACACTACCAAAGAGTATATAAGTAAGCTTACAATACTTAAGTCTACGAGTTAAACACACGTGCATTGTTTGCTTCAGAATTTGTGTCAAAATTTCTAGCGTACAGGTGATTCTTAATACGGGGTGCCCACTACGGCTGGATCGGGCCGACCGCCCGACTCGGTCGCCTGAAACTGGAAACAAACACATTAAAATTTCTTTTTTAGACGACCCGATCGGCCGATCCCATCCATAGTGGACAGCCCGTATAAAGAAGATGGCAAGACGATATCAGAAAGCAGACGGGTACAATCTGGACACACGAAACAACTGATAAAACAGAGTGGGGGTCGTTTTTGGAGAGTTGCAACCTGATATGGACGAACAATAGCGTCCAGAAAGAAAAAAAGGATACATGATTCGTACTCACTGACTGAAGAGTTCCTCTGAAATTGCCCTCGCCCTCTCTCCTGCAACCTTTGCCAATGTACATAGGTTTTGGTCGAGAAGCAAGTTCGAAGTGACCTGTGGATTTATGCAAAAAAACGAACATTACTGTATACAAATGAAACACGCGATGATGTTCGTTTTGATTTGTTTTGTTTTGCGCGTCTTTGTTTGTTCTTTTTGTTGGTTTTTGTTTGTTGTTGTTGTTGTTGTTGTTGTTATTGTTTTGATGTTGTTTTGTTTGTTTTAGGCTGTTTTGTTGTTGCTGTTGTTTTTTTGGAGGGGGGATTCGAGTGCGGGGAAAGGGAGGGTGGTAGTTTTTGTCTACCTGTGCCACTTTGTGATATTATACGCTACATTACACGTTACAAGAGTCGATGGTGTTGCAGTAAGGCTCCTCTTCGCAGCACGTGAAAATATGAGTTCCATTCCGGTCAGTTATTTTATAGAGTATCTGTGTCAGTCTGCCGTGACGTTTTACCCCTCTCAGCTCAGCTTGTTTCAGCACTAGAACAGCTAAAACAATGTCCACTGCAGTTGTGTGTAAGCTATGCAAATATTTAAGGGGGTCCGAAAAATAGAGGGCGTACGTGACATTTTACTTGCGATTTAAAAAAAAAAAATAAGTTGACGACACAGGTCAGAAAAGACTACACAATAAAGCATTTGAATGAAATGACCGAATGGTTTTTAATCAGAATTATATCTCCGTAAATTTCCCCAACTCGGCAGTCTACGTACACTGCTACAGTACAGCTGGTTTTTTGGGTTGTTGTTGTTTGTTGTTTTTTGTTTTGTTTTCTTGGGGAGAAGGGGTGATAATTTTATTGCTGTTGTCGGTATTGTTATTGATGGTGTTAATGATTATGTTGCTATTGTTGTTTTTGTACTTGCTCTTGTTCTTGTCTCTTTTATAGTTGTTGTTGCTCGGAGTTGTTCTTGCTGTTGGCTTTTGCACTGGGTTTGTTTTTCTCGAAACTGCTCAACTATGCCATAGACGCTTTGTTTTTCTGACCCCTCCATTTGCAATTACTAGCTACATTACCCTTGCCGTTAAGATAAAACATGACCAGATCATACCATTGATTATCGCATAACAGCTATTTCGCTCACCTTTTGAAGACAAACGTGTAGAAGCCACTGAACCATCAACTCGGCCGATCAGCTGGATCCCATCACACTGTAGCTCTACAGTTTTCACTGTCCCCGGCTGGAAAAATAGAACAGCTTGGGGTGAAAGTAAAGTCCTCCTTCCTCGTTTCATTTCGAACTCCTTATCTAATGCACAACTTCCGGAGTCAAAGTGGAGTCACAGGGGACTTGCAGTTATACCTTACGTGGACAGGCAACCGTAGGATATGATCGCTGCGAAGACGTGGAGGACTGGGGGTATACTTTATTAGACCTATATGTGAGGCAGCGTGGTGGAATCAGGCTCTCGTCAAAATAATCAAAGTGAAGAAACTTGCTTTTTTCTGTTGGTTTGTGAATTTTGTCAAATGTTTGTTTTTGTTTTTTTGCTCAACACCATTCATGCCCATTAAAGAACTCATTTATGTGTGGATTTTTTAAAAATAAAGTTGATTTAATGCACACAAATGTTAATTTTCAGTTACCACGGACTCTTAAGCTAAGGAAATGACTAATCTTTGGAGGCTATTTTCTCACTAATTTTACCTCTGAAAACAGGTGACCTCCACCTTCTTCATCCTCAAATATCTCGACTTGGATTCAAGATAAATGGATATTTTTTTCATCCAAGTAAAGACAAGTGAACAAGCTTTACGGTGATACCAATAACTCTACATGCCCCAAAATTGACGAGAGCCTGATTCCACCACGCTGCCTCACATATTAGTTTAGTCTTTAGTTTTAGTAATAGTTTTGGGGCATTGCAAAACGGACAAGTTGTACAAATACCGGAAATTGATATCTAGATGTATTACAAGAGAGCTACAAATATAAAAAAAATAAAAAAGGAAGAGATAGGGAAGACATTACGTTTGACAGGGAAAGAAGGAGCAAACTACAAAAGGGCACCTGCCAACTACCCACTCAAACAGACAAGCTAGACATTGCATATTAATTTTTAAAACGGTAAAATAAAAAAGGGCGCACAAGTGTCACCCTCCGACCACCCACAAGATAATACACGCTGTAACAAGTGAATTGCAATGCCAGAGATTGGAAACAGGGTGCATTCATAAAAAGAACAATG